GTTGTCACGATATCACTGAAGTACCTTGTTAGAATGTTGCTGTAGATTTTCCGCGCATGTTTTGGGCACTAGCTTCTGCTTCAGGGTACTATTTGTTTGTATAATGGCGTGAATACAAAACAACCGAGTAATCGGAATTTTTCTTTAAAACATCATAATAACTCTTGAATTAAGCATCTTTGCCCTAATTTGACCATCGTCGTATCTTCTATGGTTGCGGAGATCCAGATCGTAGACATTCTTATCTTGAATACAGGTGTATATTGTATTTTACGGTGCTTTTATTTGCAAGTATCCATTTTATGGAAAAACGGCACGGATAAAAGATATTTAATTTCTCCACAAAAGGTATTTCTTAATTATTTTCTGAACATAAAAGCGTACTACATAAACATTATTTTTTAAATGCTCATCATATGTATACTGATAAATATGAAAATATTAAACAGCATCGAGAAGTTGGTCACAAACTTAGCGCAATGCATAGTAATTCAAGTTTGCATTGAGTGAATTTCTAACACAATTGGTAAGAAGATCGTTTTTGAGCAACTATTTTACTAATATTGACTCCTACCTTTGAAATATGTATTCGTAGCTAGTTTTGACCCAACCAACAGACACATCCCATCAGACTTTCTCTTCGTGAGTATCCTATTCCGATACTCCGTTCTCAAATTACTCACATATACCAATACCATTACACATATATTTATATATATTTACAATGTGCGAAGATTTCGTAAAAATCGCTTCACAAACAAGAAAGTTATCTTTCAGGGTGAAATAGTGTATTAATGATACCTCAAACTGATGATCTAAACGTTAAGTGGTGTTTAATTAAAAAGAAAGAGTTCATATTCCTCTTTACATCGCCGTCCTGCATCCAACAATCATCTGACACCATCATTTAATTTATTAGCAAAGTGCTTACAAGTTCAGTTTTGCATGATGAATAGTATTTTAACTTATTTCTTCAGGAATTGGTGGTAGATCAGAACTTGCATCTATTTACAACGATAATCTAAACAATAATTTCGGAAGACCTGATTTGTGAGGAACTGTAAAAACGAACGTTAAATTTGTTATGCAAGGTCAAAAATAATTAAAATATATCTTATTTATGATTATTTTTGAAAAAGTCATCTATCTTGCCGTACTTGCAAATCTGCCGATCAATTTGAAGCGTTGATCTTACTTTTGTACTCATTATTTTATAAAATTGGAAGTAAAGACACTTTTAACATTGTTCTTATGCAAGTTGCCCTATACAGTGGTAAAATTTCACTTTACATTTTTTCTAATTTTATATTTCAACAGAAAACTAGTAGAAATGGACTATGAGATTATTAGTAAACTTATAAAGGAATATAAATCTAATTTCAACGTAACCTCAAGTGATTTCAATATCTAAAACCGCTTATAAAATATATCATTATGTAAGTACACTGAGTACATTTTGGTATAAAAGTCGGCAAGCATCTGTATTATAGGGATTGTGGTGATGGATCGCAACCACAACATATATAGATTTGGTCCTAGGCATTAAAAAGTAGTGGTACAAAATTAGTTGCTTACGGCACAAATTAGTACAAAATTATGGCACAAAAATTTGTATGAATTTGTATACCTACTCGGGGTTGCACATCCAAAATTGATTTGATAGTGGCGATTAAAAGGTAAGATGGTACAACATTTCTTGCTTGCGGTAAAAATTAGTACTGAATGAGTACAAATTTATAGCACAAACAATTTTAAGAATATGTAATGTATACTTGGGGTTGTGGCATTAAATTGTAACCCCAATGTACATTTGGTCCTAGTAATTATAAGGTAGTGGTACAAAACTTGCTATTTACGTTACAAATTAGTACAAAATGTTAAATGAGTACAAAATGAGGGACGCTACTTTTGAGCAAAACCGTACATCGTAACGTTAAGTTGCAATCTCAAAATGTATTTGATCCTAGCGGTTAAAAAGTACTGGTACAAAATTAGTTACTTTTACAGTATAAATTGAGTTGATTCATTTTCATTCATTTTTGTTAAGGATTCAACACCGACCGACTATGTAGCTCATTGGTAGAGCCTTGGGATACATAGCGGGAGGTCTGGTGTTCGAACCCGGGCTGAGGTAAGAATTTTACATCTGTGGCAGAGATGGGAATTTCCTTAGATCAGTTTCGAGCATTCTGCCGGGTACTCTGAAAATACCGAAATAGTATTGAACAATTTAAGACCTTCCACAGGGGCACCATTGTACTGCACTGTAATTGGGCGAAAGGCCGTTGAGGGTCCAGAACAAGAGGGACTATAAATAAATAAACTACGCTACTTTTACCCACTAGTTATTGCATAACAGAAAAGCCAGATTTCTGGAAACATCATATTCAATGTAAGTATTTATTGCGTTTGTTCAGTTACATAGTTTTTCTTCGCAGTTTTTTTAATGTTATGTGGCTGTCGTTCTGTTTCGTATTTCGGATAATCACTTACTGTATGTCTTATAGTGAGCGTACCTAGAACCTATCACCGTGTCGTGGATATATATAAATTGATGTGTAAGTGGAGTGTGCCCAACTCGTACACGATGACTCTTAACATCCCCTTCTCTAGATTTATCTCGCTGACTGAACAGGTTCCTGACCTTTGGACTTATTCCTACTAGGTGAGTATTACTCCTTTCCCATTGATGTTTCCGCATTCTAAAAGTCTTTTTTGTATCTGAGAGTTTCTAACATCGACCCCTATCATAAAGGTGACGTCTACTTGAGGATTAGATTATGCTTGATGGGCGACAAGGTCTGCTTGTTAATTTCCAGGGGATCTCAACATTGCTCGGTACCCATATAAATATTACTTCAGTGCTTTGTTCCAGGACGTAATTTAGAGCTAACTAAAATATTGCTAAGCAAAAATAATGGAAGAGTTTGAACTTAAAGACCATTCATGTGATACGCCATCAACCATACTATAGCATTCCCAGCACCGTTCTCAGTTTTTGATCCATCTGTGAAGGGGATGACTGCAGATGTTTTGGAATTCCCGTATAGGTAAGTATGATCTTTCGTAGTTTCCTTTGCATATCCTTTTAGGTCTGTTCTAATCCTGGTTCGAAGTCTGGCATCCTGTCGTTCAAGAGTGTAGGAAATACTATATCCAACCTTTCAAGATATTCTTGGATCGCATGCGATACACATCTAAATAGGTATTTGAATGAAGCGGTAATGATCTGCTAATCTATTATGAATTCTAACAGGAGCAGAGGACGAATGAGTATATTTTGTCAGCTACAATTATTCTTAAAAAGACGCATGTTTTTCGAGGACGGACGAAAATGAAGGAATGCATTCTCCCAATTAAAGAATACAAGCGATTGGTCTTATTTAATTTTCTTATATCTGAATTTTCATTAGTAATTAACTACTAAATTATACATAATGTTTCCTTTTGAAGCAAAGCTCTTTGCGAGGTTTCGACAGACAATAAACTGGTACAGCTTCAGAAAAATATAACAAAACTTCGATATAAGCACACAGAGCTTTTCCGGGCGAATTAGTGTCCTTATTGTCCAAATGTATATGCTTTGAGGTTCGAAAAACCTGCATTGCAATACCACCAATAATTAAGACCAACAAATCTAACTGTTTATTGGATTATTAAAACTGACATCTACCTGAGTTAATGCATTAATGATGTAAGGTCTCATCACCTTTAACCCATTGCAAAGAATTTCCAAATAGTGATTTTAGGTTATTCCCCTTTGAACAAAACCTATAATTTTTATACTATTTTTAAAAATAACAATCGGAGCGGCCGAAACAAGTTCATATACTCGATAAAGTCAACCTACGGATTACTTAGGTGACCAAAAAGGTAGAGACCACGGGCAAATTACAGAGAATCGGGCACTGGTAGACCAAAAGTAATTTTTATCTACTTATACCTTATTTTCTACTTTTGAGTTGTACTAAATATTTTCATACCGGCCGGCGTGCATGAAGAATTATTATTATTATAGAAAAATAAAACTAACACCCTGCGAGAATGGTTCAATAATGCGATGCAAACACGCAAGTAGGTAATTGTTTTATTTAAGAATCGAACCCAGGTCTACATAGATTCCCACGATGACTCTGGACGTACCAGCAAATGGTAATTACTCACTATAACCTAACCGTTGAATATATAATTTGAATGAAACGGGAATATATGATGTTTTAAATAAGATTTTAAGGGCACGAAGAGTTACCACAAACCATGAAAAATCATATACCTTTGAGTTAGAATCGCTTCTGAAGTTTTTAAGTGCCTCGCATACTTAAACTTAATTGTGGGAAAAGTAATCGCGATATTTCAAATATTTTTTAATACGTATGCATCCAACTTCAGAATTTTAATAAGATTGTTCGCCTTATTTCCGTCAATTAGTAACTTTCTCGCACCAATAATTAAAGAAGTTAGGCACGCCCCAATTTTTGCATAATTTGTGTTAAAAGATGAAAAGTATTTATGAATCGTAAATCGTGTGTGTAAACATAACTCATTTTTACACAACATAAAGTAACAGATTACACAAAGACTTGGTTTTCCTTTTTTATAACGTCCCTTCCCTAGATATTTTTTTAATGACTTAATACGCAAAAGAGAAATATTGTCTAACTTAATGTTTTATTGATGTGCGGTTGTTTAATATTCCCTTTTATGAAGGTTATTTCTTGTGATGTAATCGGTTTTCAATTGAAATATTGAAATCCACAACAATAAATCGTAGGTACAAAGTTTTAATTGCTTATTGTCTTAGGTTATATAAAAATATAAAAGATATGGGCGCGAATTTGCGTTGCTAATTATAAATCGCAGAATACGGAAAGGGGTTAATGATTAATCCTAGAGTTGCATGAAAATGGTAGCTTGCGGTCGTAATCGTGCCCAATATAAAATACGATGTACAGACCAATACCTACATTGTTTTATTACTTAATATATATTAACAAACTCACCTTAGAGAATCCGATGTTGGGCGTTGGAGCTTGGTGCAGTCCGGAATCATGGCATTTGAAAGCTGAAACATATTATTTTGTTGTAAAATTTTGTTATTGCGAAATTTGTTGTGCATAACTTACACTGATTTCTCATTATATACAAACTAATAACAGTTATTTATTAGTCATACCCGTATTTAAATGAAAAAAGGTTTATACGTTGTTTAAAATGCCATAGGTTACAAACACAATTAACAAGCATCACCCATACTCGAGCTTGTAATTAATTAATGGTTCAAGAATATGCATCTTGGAGTTTAATTGTATTAGATTATCCAATTCATGCCGACAGATTCATTTGCTTCAAGTACTGTACGTTTAAACGAAAAGCAATTACACTGGTAATGAAAATGTCACAGATTTGTGAATAAATTACCAACAAAATCCTTATCGCTACACAATAATAATAAAGAAAAAAATACATAACTGTATCGCTATACTTTCATAATATATCCATCAATATTTTCAAGTCAACGTCTGACAGTTAGCTTCATACTTTAATTTGAATTGCTTAATTTTGGTTTGAGTACGTACGCCTTGTGAAATACTTTCTTGTCAAATTTTCTTTGCCGATGTTAATTAACTTAATGGTTTTGCCACATTAAGAAAACTTATTAATAATGCAAGATCACTCTGCGATGATACCTACTAAAAGATCACACTTACAATAACTCGGAGTATTTTACAAAGCGAATTAATTTTCCTAATCGATTTTTTTAATGTAGCAATAAATCAAATTGACAGAATATTAACCATAGCATCTAGTTAACTAGTTTAGAGATATTTCTTTGATCCTAATAGGACATTCGAATTATAGTAGATAAACCAAATTTCTCATTTTTCGGTGGGTTTTATGTTTAGTAATAACAAAGAATACTTCGTTACTCTTTGGTGTTAATATAATAGTCCAGAAGGATTTGGTAAGGGAAGTGACTCTAGCGCTGATTTTCAATTACTTCAATTATAGGTACTATGGGTACCGGTCTTACAAAGATTTGCCAAAAAATACTTAAATACAGTTTTTTTTTTTATAAATAGTATGTCAAGAAATTTTCATGGTTTGCTTGAAATTGCGAAACAAGTGATTTTTCGACCTTCCTTCAAATCACCGTAGCTCCTATTAGTGCTACTTAAAAGTGTAAATACAAAAATTAAAGATAATTTAACTCACAATAATATGGCCCACTATAATTTATGTTTTTAGCGCATTTTTCAAAAATATTATGCACGATTACGAGCGTTTTTCTATTCAACCGTGTGAGGGATGAGACAAAAGTCGTAGAAATAGGAAATATGTTCCCCATTAGGGCAACAAGGAAGGTTTTTTTCTTAATCACTTCGGAATGACCAAATTTAGGCAACATTTTTAATTTTCACCATTTTCTTCGGGCAGAACACATTTATTTGATGAGCAGGAACTAGATATCGTGGCCAAGCAAAATATTCACCAATTTCACCTGAAAAACTGCAAAACACATTGTTTTGATGCACAGGAGTGCTCTGCTTGTCATATTCTTATTTTGGTTAAGCTAGTAGAGAAACATTTGCAATTATTGACCAATTTCGTCGGGGAAACGGTAGAACACATTGACTTGGTGCACGGAAGTAGGTTTTGTGGTCTTCTTGTCATACTCCATTTTTGGTGAAATTATTTTCTTACTATTTTTTGAAAGTTTTCCACGTTTCACATCCGTACACCATAACACTCCTTATACAAAGCACTTCGCTATTTTTTCCATAGATTCATCGTCAACTTGCTGCACAGTGTTCTACGTTTCCTGACAAATGCTTCCCATCTCTTCCATTTCCTACCACTGCATTCCAATCGCTCATTACGATTTTACAACAACCACCTTCTTCTTCCGCGATTACAATTTCTATCTTTGCGTATACTTTTTCTACTTCCTCATGGTCAGTGTTTGGTATGTACACTTGAATCACTAACATTTTCTTTGGCACAGTGTTAAGCGTTAGAGCCATCACTCTATCACAGCCATAAATTGCTCTGGTTACACATCTGGAAAGTTCCGTGCTGTCAATAAATCCGACTCCGCTTTTCCTTCCTTTTCTACCACTGCATCATCACAATTTTGCTGTCCCTATCCCTTCCATCTTGTTTCACTTACTGCAGTTTCCTCGCCGTAGATTTTCAAGCTTTTCCTCCTTTAGTAATAGACTTCTGACGTTCCAAGTTCCAATCTTCAATTTACCATTTTCCTTCTCCTCATTGTTTTTCTTGAAGGTACTTACTCTTCGTATACTGTCCGCATCGGAGGACGAACATCCGGGTTGGGGAGTACTTTAACTCCGGAAAATTTAATGTTCGAGGAATATTTCTTTTCTTCTTTCTCTGGCACATCTCAAGGGGTACCGTGAGGTCTTTAATGGTTTCCTCTTCCTTTCTCCATCCTGACGCCATCGATCCCGAAGAATTCTTCCACTTTTGGAGTAATTTTTCACTTCCTGGACAACAGGGTGCCCCGAACCTATACCCGCTTATCCGCCCTCCTAGAAGCCGTTGACACTTGGTACAGGGTTAGTTAGTTATTGGTGCATTAGTTTATATGATTAAAGTTTACTTTGTGAGTCAAGGTATGTTTTTGTATCCAAAACATCTTCTGTCATTTATGATATTTTATTATTTATGACTTTTCTTACAGTGGTGCCTAACAGTATACCCTTTTTTTGCTCAATTTGATTTTTTGGCCTACGACCAAAACGCTTACTATTGACTGAGCTACCAAGCCTTGTCATTTTCAATTTTTACAGGCGCTACCACAATAGGCAGGGGCAAAATTCTAACCTACGTATGAAAAATGCGCTCTTGTCGTCTGCAAATCTAGATCTAGACTTGTTATCACAGTCGGAAAACTTTCCCGAGAAATTTTAGTGTAGTCGATTTTTGGTAAAAAAGGAAGGTTATACACTGCCTTTTTTTGAGGCCCGAAGAAAATATTGTCTCAGATCGACCCAGAAAAAAATTTTCTTATAGAATGTGGCCTGTAGAATCCATAATTTCAAACAGTTCCAAGATTGGGCTACTAGATCAAAAGTTACAGGCCTTCGAATTTTCTTTCGAAATTGGTTTCTGGTCCATAACTTTTGATTGAGAAGTTTGATCGAAAAAGTACGAATTGTTTTGGATTCTACGCACCAAAATTAACAAGAAAAAGTGTTTTCCCGAGAAATTTTGGTGCAGTCGATTTTTGGTAAAAAAGGAAGGTTATACACTGCCTTTTTTTGAAGCCCGAAGAAGAAATTGTCTCAGATCGACCCGGAAAAAAATTTTCTTATAGAATGTGGCCTGTAGAATTCATCATTTCAAACAGTTCCAAGATTGGGCTACTAGTTTAAAAGTTACAGCCCTTTGAATTTTTCTTCGAAAAAGTGTTTTCCCGAGAAATTTTGCAGTAGTCGATTTTGGTAAAAAAGGAAGTTAGTATTCAAATACTATGCGAAGTATTCGAATACTTCTCAAAGTATTCAAATACTTTGCGAATTATTCGAATACTAAATATTTGTGAAAGTATTTGAGTTACAAATACAAATACTGCTTCCATAAAAGTATTAGTTACAAAGTATTTGAATACTTTAAAGGATTTGAATACTAAAAAGTATTTACAAAATCGAATACTGCCCAGTTCTGAGTCAAACTCTTTAGAATATCTGAAGGCCCCAAAAGGCTTTTAACCCTCCCTTTTTTTCAAAAGCTCGTAAGTTACAATCAATTTAAGATGCTATTACTGTATTTACGATAGGTATAATTGCAAGCGAAATTTCTTTTTAAAATACAATAGTTCAAAGTGACTGTTCTGGCAAGCGTTCTATGTAGATAATCCGCACCAAGAACGCTGGCTGTGTGGGTTTTTGTTCGTTTCAGTTCCCTCTACCTTTGGTTACCTTTTTATACGTTTATTTCATATGCACTCTGTATACAGGGCAGGAAAGAATTCAATCAGCCGGCGTCGCGCCGTTAATATTTGACTATTACACGGATCTATAAGTAGTTGTCGCCTGCCAAGCCATAAGGCGAACGTGTTTTATGTCCTGAATCCTTATATTTTGGAAATTTAGATCGATTTCATTTTTATGTATCTATTCGTAACGATCAAACTAGATTTGTGCGATTTTACGAAAATAAACAACTTTCAGTCAACTTTGCAATTTGCATAAACATAGAAATATTTATAATGGCCATCCAAATGAAGGCGTTACAAGTAGGACGTCTTTGTCAGACACAAATTTAAGAAAGACGTTCAAACATATCTTAATTAAGTTAATTATACCTAATGCTATAAACGCTTATAAAACAATTCAATTGGCGATGCAGATTCTTGCTAAATTATAATGTACAATTACAGTATTTTCACCCTCTTGCATTTTCTCATAGCCTATAGCCATCAAAGCTATTAAAAAGATTACCTTCGATTTCTTCAATAATCATCATTGGATGGGCGAACAATACATTTTTGGTGTACTTTCGATGTAACGTAGAAACTTCCCATGCGATGATATGGTTCACATAAAAATTATTGTTAGTTTTCGACCATTTTTCCATTTTTTTAATGTAATTCCGTTACTTTCAGAGGTAAACAACATTCCACATACTCCAAATCTCATGCAGTTAAAAAAAAGTACCCACATTTGTTTCATTTGGTATGTAATTAATTTAAGAACCTTGATTCTGAATTAGGCAGTTTTTGATCAAAGGCTGCAAGTACAGTAGTCCAATTAAATCATAAACGATTGCGACAACCCGATGGCGATACATCAAATTTGCCTTGTTATGGTCGAAGAACCGGTAGAATACCCGTTATGATTTGAATCTTATACAATTCGCATATTCATAGACGAACGGGTTTACTTATTCTTCCATCTTGGAGAAACGGTCAAGTTTAAACAAATTCGATTTTAATCGCTCGATATGGAACAAATACTGGAAAAAAATTGTAACCGGGTCAGCATCGCGCATGCAATTACTCCATTAGCTATAGACTCATTTAATTTTATTATCCTTTACGCGCACCTAGTGTGTAAAAAATAAAGTCAAGGTAAAATCGTAGTTTTCACTCGAAATTATCATTTTTTATTCGTCAAAGGTTAAGGTG